GCAGCATGAGCTTTCGTAGACTTCAGTCTACTTCCTCAGATGCATTCATATCAGGACAGTCATGTTGGATCAGACTAAAGGCCCTGTCTTCTCAAACATTCTGTTTCCAAAGTGATTCTCCAGATTCCCATGGGAAGTTCAAAAGCAGGTCATTAATACAACGGCATTGATATCCTCCATTAACTGTTTTTTAGAGTACTATGTTGGATGCTGGATTTAATATGCAGTCATAATGACTAGTGACTACTGACAAGCTTTCCCCCCACAAATTTATCTAATCCCACTATAAAGCTACTCAAAAGAGTTGTCACCAGTACCTCATGAGCATAGGTGATACTTAGTGGCATCATCTGGTGCTGTAATTCATGGTGTCAACCCTCCTGTTGACCTCCTCCCATACCACACCATACACAATCCTTAGTTATATTTTTTGTATTAATGTTTGTTAAGGTAAAATGGTAAACATTCCCCTTTGACATGAATGTCTAGTCAAGTCTGACTGGGGCAGTGCTCATCTCTGTTACTAAGCTGAGGGAGCCGGCGTTGACAAAGATGACTCCATGAGCCTGTGGCCAGCATGACTGCACAGAACGCTGTTACCTTCTCACCAAAGTGATACCTATTTATCTACTTGCATTTTTACATGCTTTCAAACAGCTAGGTTGGCAGAAGCTGGGGTTAGCGATAGGAGCTTACTCCGTCATGCAGCACCCAGGCCTCGAACTGCCAACCTCCCGATCTTGAAATCAACAGTCAGCGTCTTAACCATTTGAGCCACTGCATCCCTGCCTTTAAATTACAATATCATATGCTCAACCTAAATGTATTTACATGTACATAGTTTCATGTAGTTAAAATGAAAAATGGGCAAGATGTGTTTTTAAAGAAAATTTAAAGAGAATACAAATTTTATTTTTTTAAAAATAAAGTTAACATTTAATATTTACAAATGTGAAAAACCTGGGGCATCTCCTTTCTCCTCCCACTGAGCCTCATTCCATTCACACCATCTCTTCAACGTTTTAAAGGGATGCAGGTGAATGCCATAGCCCATTTCTGCCAAAAGGCAGGTGTTTGGGAACCACTGGTATCACCCTCTTAGGGTGTCACTAGATGTGGTCTGCACTCCCTGCACCCCTAGTGACACCCCTGGCGATACTGCTCTTATGTGAGTGGGGAGAAGTTCCATCTATTGAATTCCTGTATGTAACTCAGTACTAAAGTTCCACTAATGCTTGGAAATAGCAACCTTGCTTGGGTGTCTATGTAAATGCACACACAATGCAACACTGATTGTTCATGTTAAAGCAGTGGTAGGCAACCTTTCCCCTTTAAGGACTGAGGGACTTGAGCTCCCAGAATCCCAGGAGCTATTGGCCAACATGGGACTATTGGCTAACATGGCTGAGGCTTCTGGGAGCTGAAGTCCCTTGGCCCTTAAAGGGGAAAGGTTGCCTACACCTGTGTTAAAGAGTAGAAACAGATTTTCATTTTTGGGAAAGCTAAATCTTTTCCCCCCGTTAGAGACCTCATCAGTAACCTTGTTTCTTCATCCTACACTCAGCCTTTGTCAAAATATTTGGTCTAAATACCCAATGCCTTGAGCCACTTAACATGGAGTATTTACCCTTACAGTCTGGTATCAGTTGTACCTTCCAATGCTGCTAAATGCAAACATGTCTTGCTTTATTTCAAGGAGAATAGTAAGGTACCAGAGTGTTGCCTCCTTTGCAACACCTGCAAGTTCTTATCCTTTGCTTACCTATGGGATTATTTTGGTAGTTGCCGCAAGCTTCAAATTGCATTATGGCAATTCTTAAAAAAAAAAAAAAAAAGAAAGAAAGGAAAAGAAAAGAAAAGAAAAGAAAGAAAAAAGAAAGTGTTGTGGCCTATTCACTTTTAAATTGTGTTTGTTTGTTTGTTTACTGATGATAATACCAGCTAAAGGCATTAGGGATATCGTAAAAGCAAACAGCTCAACTTCCTGGCTGGCTGAACACACTTGATAAAGATATCTATGAATTAATGCTAAATTTTCTACAACTTTTAGTGTTGCAAGAATGCCAGTCTTCTTTTCCTAAAACTATTTGCTTTTATTATCCTGTAAGAGCAAGATAGTAATCAATATCAAATAACTACTTCTGTTAGGACAAAATTATATGTGACAACCCTGAGTTTTAAAATTTGTCTGTTATGGAATCCATATAAAGTGTAAATGGATAGGTGGGCTTAAAGCACAGCACTGGTAATTGGAAATACAGCAATAAACATTATCAGAGCTCGGGAAATTTTGTTTTTGTTTTATCTACAATTGCCAGAATTTCCCCTGCTGGCCCAGCCAACCTGGCTGGGGGGGATCCTAAGCATTGTATTCCAAAAAGTAAGGGCTCCAAATTACTTGTTGGCTGGACAATTCTGGATGTTGTTGTCCAAAAAGAACTCTTCCAAGCTCTGCCTTAAAAGGTTGCATCTACATTGCACTATTAATGAGGTTTGAGAACTCTTTAACTACCAGGGTTCAATGCTATGGGGTACTGGGATTTTGTGATATCTGGCCTTCTTTGTTAGAGTGCTGTTGTGCCACAACAAACTACAAACCCCAGGGTTCCATAGGATGGAGCCATGACAGTTAAAGTGGTGTCAAACTGCATTAATTCTGCAGTGTGGCAGCAGCCCTCGCCCCATAGCCAGCTGTGTCTCAGCTGTTCTTTTCATGGTGAGGCTTGCAAACTAGACAAAATCCTGCCAGGAGAAAATAATTGAGGCCAGTAGAATAAAGACAAAAAACAAAACAGAACACAAATATGGCTGGTAGGAGGTCTCCTGCTCGAATACTCCCCTATACTACATTTTTCTTTATAAACCCCTAGTTTATATAGCTACAGCTGTGTTCATTCTGCTGATGTTAAATTCATACAAATGGTGTGCAAATAGAGTCGTGCTTAAAACAAACATGTTATCATTCCTCGTTAAAATCATAAGTACCCTATCAAACTGGATATAAGTGTTGTTAACACACGGCAATCATTTTATTTCTAGGTGGAAAGGTGCTAACCAGATCTGGATGCCAGAGCCTGTAACTGAATGGCCATAATGGGCTCTTCCAAAGTTTCTAAAGAAATGTCACTTCTTACAATAAAGCTCCTCAGGTTTTATCAGCTGTTGTCCCTTTTGTTGTCCCTGTTGTCATTGCATTCTTTTTTGGGAGACTGTAGCAATTTCTTGGGTCTACATAAGGCTCTTCCAAATGATTTTAGTTTGCTGAAGTGGTCCTATGATTTGAAGGGCAAATTTCCTCACCTCTGATATTTATTTATTTATTTATTTAAGTGTTTATGTGTTTGTGTGCAAAAGTGCCATTTGACTGATGCACTGAAACTGTAAAAAATAAAATAAACAAAATATTAAAAATTAAATTTTAAAGTTTAAACATTCAAAGATATTCAGAAAGGAGAAAGGATATTTAAAAAAAAAAAGAAACTAAATTTTAGAAAGAGAAAGAACATGTTTTTATTTATTTATTGAATTTATATCCCATATTTCTCCTCAGATGGGATCCAAGGTAGATCCAATATGTTGCGGAATTAAAATGAATGAAAAAGTAACCAACTTGAAGGTGGAAATAAAAGGTTACAATTGTGTTGGAATTTGCCAGAAAATAGTCAGGTACAAAAGAGATGAACTTTGGATATATTTTTTTTGAAAAAACCAAGTAGTACAGCAACTTGAGGCAGTGTCATGTAGTGATCTGAGTGTTGGGCTATGACTCTGTAAACCAGGGTTCAAATCCTGGCTTGGGCAAGTCACACTTTCTCAGCATCAGGGATGGCAATGACAATCCTCTGAAGAAACTTGCCAAGAAAAACCCATGATAGGGTCACCTTAGGGTCACCATAAATTAGAATAAACTTCCAATAAAGTTGTAAACTTGAAGGTACACACCAACAACAGCAATAGAAACAGTACAAGTGAATTCACATGCTATTTGCTTTATTTACAGTTATATGAGTATGACAGGTGGAGGGAAAGAAAAGTAGAAGTTCCTATAGATTTATTTTATAAATTTAAATATCTGCTTTCTGCTAGAAAATGACACTTCACATGGCAAGACTAACATTCAAATAAAAACCAGTACACTTAAAACACAAAGACTGATTAAAACACAAATTTAAAAAATATTGAAAAGAAAGAAAGGAGCTAGTGTTGCAGTGGTTTGAACACTGGATGATGACTCTGGAGACCAGGGTTCAAATCCCTGCTCAGCCATGGAAACCTCTTGGATGACTTTGGGCAAGTCACACACTCAGCCTCAGAAAACTCCTTAGGGTTGCCATAAGGCACATGACAATGGACGTTATCACACGCGGGTCTCAAAGCGGCAAGAAAGCGGTATGGAATCAATCCAGAACTATACCGGTATAGACCCCACAAGACGGAAATTGCTATCAGACGCAACTAGCATCATTCCACAATGAACGAAAGCAGCATCATTGCGGTATCATTCTGGTCGCGCAAATGTAATTCCCCAGGAAACCGGCATTCAAAAGAACGGGGATGATGCCGCATTGGGACGGGGATGGCACGGGGTTCTCTGTGACGTCGTGTGAACACACGGGAAAAGGAACCGCAATGGGACGGGGATGGGACGGGGTTCTCTGTGACGTCGTGTGAACACACGGGAAAAGGAACCGCAATGGGACAGGGATGGGACGGGGTTCTGTCTGCTTTAGACCCCGTGTGATAAGGTCCAATGAGAGCAATAAAAAGAACAATTGCTCATAATGATGTATCCTGGATAGATCTGTGCAGGGGGTAGATGGAATACTATTTTGAACCTGCCAGTGAATTTTAGGGAATTTTAGTCCAAACTTTTCTAAGCTTTGATGCTGGACCTCGGTGATTCTAGTTTTCAGCCAGCTCTCAGCTTTATCTGGGTATGATGGCAAACTACAAATACTTCCTTTGTTCCTTTACATCGTTACACCCACATGTTTAATGTCAGTCTTGTGCCTTTTTCTGGAGTTGGGCATCAATGTATGAGCTCTGGTACCTGTTCCAGCATATTAAATATGACAATAACAATAATCACAATAGCTTTTAAAAAACAGACAGGCACACTGTAAAAGATTCACGCTTACCAAAGTACAGTGATCAAGCAATGGATGTTTAACTTCAAAGAAAGATTGAGTGCAGATGATATAAATCTTGTATCACAAAAAAGGAGAACGATCCATTTTAATTTCAAACACAAGATCTCCCTGGTTGGATCCACATAGGTAAATATATTTAGGACATTGCATTTAAATTAGACTATTAGGAAAGAATTCAGAGTATTCACAGTATTTTTGAAAACATTTAATCATCAATTTAGATACCTAAGTATCATTAATTTATTTATTTATGATATTTTATCCCACCATTCTCCCAAATGGGATTCAAGGCAGCTTATGATACTTTAAAAAGATAAAACTAAAACATTAATTACAAACATTAAAAATAAAATAAATAATGCTAATATTAAAACATAAATAAAAACGGCATAGGTAAAACCGTTTTAAAAAGTAAAAACTATTAAAGCATTAAAACAGCACACTACCCTACATAAGTAAAATTCACACACCAAAAGCCTGCTTAAATAAAAATGTCTTCAGGTGCTGGCGAAAAGAGAGTAGTGAGGGGCCCAACCTGACCTCCCGTAAAAGGGAGTTTCAAAGCA